GCATCAAAGCTCACTGAACTCCTTGGGCTTTGCTGTCCCATTWGGAAAGGGTGAGGTCCCGCGCTTGTTCTCCAGGAGAGCTTTGTTTGCTTTGTTAAGCTGCGCTTGGCATCTCCTCTCGCTGCGGCAGTCGCTGCCCAGCCCAGGGAAGCACGGAGCAATCGTGCCGATGATGCCTTAGGATTTCAGCTTCTGTATTTTTCGTGTATCTGTAACCCTGGAATTCTTTACTGTATAACTCCAGACTCCACAGACAGTGCTGAGCTCCTGCTCTCCCATTTTTACACAAAACAATTCCTCTCCGGGCCCCAAACTCAAGGACACCTCCCTGTGCCAGGCCCCAAGAGATGGAAACAACAGAGAATTGGGGGAGCCAACTTGGAGTCAATGACTGCATTGGCTGAGCTGCAATTGGAGGATTCAGCAAATCCCGATGTGCAAATGGACAAAAGTGAGAAAGGGAGAAAAACCCGTGAGCCATTGTCCATTGTGGGTGCAGCCCCTGGGTGGGCTGGGACTGCCCTGAAGGCCCTGCAATGAACAGAACTGCTTTTATTCTCTGAATTTTGTCTGCTTCTGTTTTTAGGTAAGCCAGGTAAGGCATCGCCATGGAGCAGGGCACTGTTGGCTCTTCAAGCACAGCTCCCGGGTTCCTAAAGCACAAGAGGGAGGCAGAGGGCTGAGAGCAAAGTTTGTTTGCTTGTTTAATTTGTGCCTCATCCCTGGCAAAACTATGGCCATTCATTAAGCCCTAAGATGAAAAGCTTAAGACACATTTGAACTTCACCCTTATAAGCTGGAAATGTTATCTTGAGAGAAAGCTGGGTTATAATAGGTGTAGCTGTTAACTGGCGMATTCTCCCAGAAATACAGGCAAATTAGCAAGAAACAAGCAGAATAGCAATACACATCTCCACCTTCTATAACTGTACTGAGCTTATTCTWACTAATCTTCCTGAAGAAGGAAAACAGCTGAGATGCAAAGGCTCAAAGGCATTTAATCACTTCACTGCCTTTGAGGATCTGGGGTTAAATGAAGGACCTGGCAAAAACAAGCTGTCTGCAGGGCTGTAACAACACCAGAGGGACCAGCAGCCTCTGAGGGACAAAGCCAGAGTGACAGTCCTCAAAATCTTCATGGTCACCTTTGGGAACACAATGCAGAACTGGTCATCTCCAGACTGTCCTGTATCTCCYCATTCTGTCTGGAAAGGAGGAGCCTGCACCGTGGCTTCTGTGTGGGTATCCCACATGGAAAGGAGGAGTTTCTTGCTTTGGGCAGCTGCTCACACACATCCTCTAAAGGCTGTACTGGAGTCTGCTAGGTTTCAGTTAAATAAGATGATGGACAGACATTTTAACAAACWGTATGACCACAGGCAGGCTTTTCCAAGGGAAGGGCTTTAATTCCACTCATAAAGACACAGATTTCTTTTCTTTCCAAGTACAGCTAACTCATATAACATTAGTAACATTGAAAATTCTCACATCATGAAACAGGCAGAAATGTGCATGGATGTTCAGCCACACAACCCTTGACTTAGCTGGTTCTCCCTCCCTCTTCCACCGTTTTTCTGGTGGTGATGATGGACATTGATTACACAAAAACATATTTTGTGTCCCTTTCTCTTCTGTTCTTGAAATGAAAACTCCACTAGGGCAACTACTTACTACAGCCATGTAGCCAACAGGAGCACACAGCAGGTTAAGGACAAAGGAGTCACATTTGGTGTGAAAGGACCATCTCAGTGGATGTGATCTGTGGTTAAAATGCAGTCTGACTTCTGGTCAGGGCAGCTTTCTGTTCATCTCCATTGAAGTGAGGGAGAGAACCTGCTAAACTGTGTAAAGGGAGAAGAGTCCACTACCAGAGAAACCACTTGGGGTTGTATTTTTTAAATTTCGGGTATTAATGTTTATTCTTTGCTCTCTTTACTGATACTTAGGCACTTCCAAGAACTGGATCTGGCTCACCTCTGCCCTCTCCTCCCTCCAAGCTGCAAGGAGATTGCTTTTACAAATCAGAGCCTGAATTTCACACATCCCCATTGGCTTTTGCTCAGGGTCTCTGCAGGAGGAGGTGGATGCTGGAGCCTGTGAGGCTGCCCTGTGGTGAGAGGTGTGTCCACAGGGCTGATCTGCAGCACCAACAACTGGCAGAGAGGCAGAAAGATTCCACAAAGCTGATTTGGGACCCGGGATGTCCTTCCTTGTCTAGACACAAACCCACCTGAGCCCTTGTTCCTGAACACAAAATGGGAACTCCACACCGAGCACGAGGCAACGAGGGAAGGGGAAGGAACAAAACAAAGGGGTCTCCTCTGAGCCTTGCACTTGGGATCACAGGAACTCACACATGGTTCCAGGGCTACTGCTCCAGCATGTGTAAACTTTTCTAAAGTTAACATTCAGCTACAGGCACCAATATCTTATTTCCCTTCACAGATTCAAGATACCTAACAAAGCAATCAAACCACAGAAACACCAAATGGTTTAAGTTTAGATGTTCATTTTTGCTCATAAACAAAAACGAGACAARAAACCTGCAACRTTTTTCAGWCAAGTTTCAAAACTTGAAATCCATRAGGACCCTCTGAAGTGAAAAACATTTTTTTGTTTGGTATTTTTGTTKGTTTGCTAATGAGGCTCTCCAAAGTAACAGTGGCAGTAAAATTCCCCATAAGGAATTTCACTTTTCCAGTGGTTTCAGTGTATCCCAGCTGGCATTTCCAAGCCTCTCCCCTTGGAGCGTAGGAATCAATCCCCTTGGATTACAGTTTCAACACACAACACAGCACAGCTGAAATCCCAAGTCCTAGGGATAAACACACCAGCATGTTCCAGCTCTCCTGTGGCAGCCAACATCCTCCACCAAAAGCTGGGGGAGTTTTTTGGATGGATTGGGATTTTCCCAGCTYCTCAGATGCCTCGGGCAGCTCAGCGCCGCAGCCTGAGGAAGAAGGCGTGCTTGCACTCCTTGCTGTCCAAGGGGTAATACTTGTCATAAAAATCCAAAATGTACTCCTCAGTCTTAAATCCAAACTTCTGGTAGAGCAGCATAGCAGGGTTGCTTGCAGAGACGTGAAGGGTGACGTCCTTGCCCATGCAGGTCTGCCAAAGGAGGAGGGGGAGAAGGAAAAAAAAAAAGGAGATATCACTGCAAGAGAACGAGACAGCCTCTGGGGGAATGCGGAGGTGAGGAGATTCATCAGCTCAGGGATCCAAGGTACTGAGGAAATGTGAGAAAAGTCACAGGAGTTACCACACATAGCAACAGCAAAGGCTAAGGAACACTGAAGCTGCTCCTCCAAGCCTTTGTTTCTGGGAAACGTGGATCCTCTGACAATGAAAGCAGGTTTKGGACTATAATTTGTCAAGTTTCCAYTGTCAATTACTRAAGTAATTGTTAATTAAAARTAATCTYGGTGTACAGCACTGATCTCAAATACAATGGCCTGAAGAAAAGGCAAAGCAGCCAGAGGATCAGGCTGTGCACTCCTCCCCATCAGCAAACAGAGCTGAGCTCTCTGGGACTGCCTGAGCACCTCYGCTGTCACGCTGGAATTCCTGCCTATCCCACCCAGCTCCTCTCCCATCCTTCAGGGCACAGCACTCGCCTCCTGAGAAGGCAGGAAATCCAGTTCAAACAGCAAATAATAGCATGGCTGAAGTTACCTTGAAGTTCCTAAAYTATCCTAACTGGCAACATTCTGATAAAGATGCTGAAATAATTTATTTTCTGCTTTCATCAAGTGTTTTAATAGCATTCCATGTATATTGGGTGTATTGTAACTCTAAGTGGGAACAGTAATACCCTCTAGGAAATCTCCAAGATAGAACATTCAAGGAGAAAACTCTCAGTGGGATTTAAGAAGGAAAGGAAAAAAAAGAAGGGTGTTTTGTGGAAAGTTTGAATGAGATCGTTAAGAAAATTCAGTTTGGTCCTCTGGGCCACATATGTGAGAGGGTAAATTCTGACAGCAAACCAGCCACCACCATTTGCATCAAAACATTTTCCTGTTAAGTTATGCAGTTCCCAAGGATTCAGCCCCAAACTCAGTACACTGATCCCAAAGTGAGAGACCTCTCTTAGTCTAAACAGTGCATGAGAGTTTCTCTGTAGAGAGGAGACTCCAAGCCTGAGCAGGCTGCACAGCAGCACCCACAATGTGAGGATTGAGGAACAGGTCACAACTACATTTATTCCACAGCACTAAACCCCTTCTGCCATTGTCACAAAGTCAGCAATGACAAAATAAATCTAATGTGAGCCAAATACACTGTGCTGATCTCTCACTGCTAGTGAGCTTAATCAGCCTCAAATCTCTCAAATCTGTTTGGCTTTCCTCAGCATGGAATTTCACGCTGGTCTCCCTGCAAGCAGGATTAGGTTAATTGATGTGATTCATCCTACAAAAAGGTGTGAGGATTTTCTGTGGCTGCCCTGCCAGCTCCAGCATCCCAGCTCTGCTGCAGAGAGAGAAGTCTCTCAGCATCCACCTGCTGTATCCCTGCAAACCTTGGCGCCTGTTCCTGCTCAGTGTTGATGTCTCACATCAACAGACTGGGCTGAGRGCAATTTCCTTCAGCACTTCACACAGAGCTGCCTGGGAAATGCAAAGGGTGAGTTTAAAAGAACACTGATTAGAGGCCTGTGTCAACACTGCAGARCTGTGCAGGGAGCAGAGTTACCCTCAGGCAGCCCAGGAGCACTACCCTGACTGGAAACTGCTTTTTCACTGTCCCCAAGGCTCTGCCAGCATTCCCTACCTTGATTCTGCCAAATAAGTAAGAGGAAAAAAACAGTTTCAATGGTGAGTTTTTGTCACTGCAGCTTATCTTGACTACAACAAATACAGAAATGTTTCCCATTGGCAGCTCTGCCAAGAGAGTTCAGGGAGTGGTTAAAACTCTGAGTCCTTAAGAGGAACAGCTGGGCTCTGAAAAGGACATATCTCTGCATCCTTACTCACAATCAAGCTGGCTTTCCTGCAATTTAATTCCAGAAAGTCAATGGAATTAAGGCCACTTGAATAACAGCATTCAGAGATTTAATCAAGTGTAACTACTTTAATTCCACCCATTTAGTCAGCTCAGAATAATTTTCCTAAGTGTTCCTGTGGAACAAGGCCCAGTTTGAACAAACTGAGCAAACTTTATCACTGACTCAGCTGTACTAGAACCAGTGTATTAAAAGTGAAAGTGAGTGATTGAATCAGTAAGTGATTAAATGCATAGAATAAACCTCCAGGTGCACGCAAGAAAGCTGAAGTAGATTCTAAGTGATCCTCCCCACTCTTGTCTCATTTTCTCCTTTAAACCCCACATTTACAATATTCCTTTTACACAAACTATTGACCACTGAAGAACACAGGGTTAATTCCAAGACAGTAGAAGTGTGCAGCATCCCCTTAATTCTGAGGCCATGACCAGGATGGTTATTTTCCTAAATACATTTTAACTTTCCAAGCCTCAAAGTTTRTATATGGGAGCTATTTCCTCCCATAAACGTTCACAGAAAGGGYTATTACTCTAATATCTGTATGTGTGCAGGGAAGAAGGCAGAGCTGGTTCYTGGGCAGATTCAYRGGATGATTTCATTACCTGGATAAGATGGTAAATCATGAAGGTTGCAATCCCAGCTCTTCTCCACTCAGGATGCACCAACAGGAAGGAGATGTAAGCTTCGTTGTACTTCACATCTGGCACCATAAAGCCAAAGGCAATGATCACTTTCTTGTAAAGGACGACAACACTGAAGTCTGGGTACTGCAGGCACTCTGACAAATCAATTCCTATGGAGAAAGAGCAGCTGAAAGCATTGCAAACCAAAAGTGTCACACTTGCATGGATATCCAGGGGTTCAAGGCTTTATGGAAACACTTGATCCCTTCTTCTTACCTTTACTTCAAATCTCCGATAGCAAGAGATCAAAGAATCACAGAATAGTTGRGGTTGGAAGGGATCTCTAGAGATCACGTAGTCCAAGGCCCCTGCTAGAGKWGTCCTCTGTWACTACAGATGATGCAGTCAAATTTCCCACATTTAGGGAAATCCCAGGACACCCAGAGTGTAGGGGATGAACCCTGCCTTGGGAAAACCAGCTGCCTGCCTCCCCTGCCAGGTAAGTATRTAAGGGAAAAGGAGATGATACAACAAAACAGACAAACAAGATCTCCTTACTAGCAGGGACTCTTGCATGGAAAAACTAACAAGGCTGATTTTCTTTCAAACAACTTGAGGATGAAACTAAAACTGAAAATTCAACTCTCTTCAGAAGCAGCACTCMTGAACCTGGGCTTCAGCTCTGGTAGTATTGCCTGTTCTGGTTCCTATCTTTTTTCTCCACCTTGCCTGGAGCTCTTACTGCTGTCTCTTGGGCACACTCAGCTGGTTGCAAAGCTGCACTGTGAACCTGACCACAGCTCCCAAAGCTATCAAAACACTTGCTTCAAGCATGCAAGTTCTCTAATCTGGGGAACAAAACAGCCTCTCAGGCAGTCTTCTGTAAGTCAGAGGCTGGACACAAAACAAGGCTGGGAGTTTGTTACCTTGTCTGACTAATCATCCTGCTGCTGCAGTGCTAGAACATCCATCCACACAGCATGTCAGCACCAAACGGTGCAGTTTGAGGCACCACAGACTGACTGCTTGCTAATTGGTGTGGACAGACCCTAAATGAGATGCAAAACACAGAGGAGATGTGCCAGAAAGGTTTGCTTCAGCCTCGAGCTGGCAATTGCAAATACAGCTGGAACACGGCATAACAAAATAGCAGAGCGTGTTTTCCAGTAATCACTCTGGATGAGATGTAAGACTTCATAAGGCACCAGGCACAAAGAAGTGGGTGAGTTATTTTCTTGCAGGGTGGAGCAAGGCGTGGGAGGAATCGATTGGCAATAGGGAGCTGTGTTAATTATGCCAAGGCTGCTGCTGCCTGTGGAGTGCCTTGCAGCGTGTCTGGACAGGAACACTCACTGCCTCGGGCACGCTGCTGTCTCTGYAATGGTGCAGCTTTTCCTGTAGGAAGATGCTCAGCTCAGGATGGGTCACTGCTGGAGAGGTTTCCTGCTAGGGAGAGGTTTTCCACTAGGGCACAAGGCACTGTGACAAAAAAAATGGGGGAATCTCTTTTCACAACAGCTCCTTTGCAGTCACCACCTGCAAACCTGGTTCCACCTTGGGAGAGGCAAGAACAGCTCTGAAAGGAAGGATTTGGAGGGGCAGAAGGACTAAGTGCTGGTTTAATGATGCTCACGCAGTTTCATATCCCTGCCCTCCACTCCCAGGTTTCACCAGCTAAACCCTCTGCATCCACAAAGGAGGCTTTACCTYCTGGAGCATCACCTACTCACTTCCCTCTCCCACTCAAGCAGAACCAAGGTGCAACAATCATATCCCAGCCTCAGAAATTTTTCACCAAGGAAAAAATGTGGATTCTTGTTTGGAGCCTGATGGGAGTGTCAGCTTTCYGATTTAATGATGAACAGTTCACAGTTGGGTGGAACACACCCAAGCTCCTTATGCTAAATAAAACAGGGTGAGTCCTGAAGAAGTTAATGAAGGTGCAACTCAACTTGGCCAGAACTTCAAATGCTTTATCAGGAGAGGAGAGACTATGACAAAGCGGTTCAGCSTCTGCTGGCATTGCAAGTGTCTCTCAGGAGTTTTGAGCCAGCTTGTGTAAGGAAAGGTGTGCCAGGTTATTTCCCCCTACACTGTACAATTTGCATGATGAACAGCACAGAGAGCTCCCATCCTGACTACAGCATATGGGCACTGCCAAATTCAGCCCTGCTGAATCACTATCTGCAAATCAGAACACAAAGCAAACAGTTACCTGGAATAAAGGTGTGTACTGTTTGTACTGGGCTTCTCTAAATTAGTCTGCTGCATTGTTTGCACTGATCATCCCTGTTATTATTGCAGAAGACCTAAACACTGCAGCCTCATAACTGTCCCCAGAAAGGGCAGCCACTGTCCCCAAAGAACCTGCAGCTCAAGAAATGACACAGAAAAATTCACCCTTAATCTTTCCCATCCCTTGTAAATTCTGAGGCTTGAAGAAATAAAGGACATCACAACGAAGCYTGCAGTTGTGAAAGCMATTCATAGAATCACAGAATAAGCTRAGTTGGAAGGGACCCTCAAGGATCATCAAATCTAACTCCTGGCCCTGCACAGGACAAGCCCAAGAATCAYACCCTGTGCCTGAGAGCGTTKYCCAAACTCATGTTGGGCAGGCTTGGTGCTGTRACCACTTCCCTGGGAGCCTCTTCCAGTGCYCAAYCACCCTCGGGTGAAGAACCTCTTGGTAACGAACAGTGATCTCTGGTATAAAACTGGTTATTTCAAYCCCTGATTCTGCAAAACTTTTCACTGGATGGTTTAATTAACTACTGAATTACCAGACTACGCTTTTTGGCACCTATTTTTGTAGGTACTCTGCTAATTAGAGCCTAATTGCCCGGTTCTAARTGATCTCAAGAGACAGACACCAAACCCAAGTCTCCACCTCAAATGCATTCCTGTGACATCAGATAATAAAGGGTGTCTAAGAACTGCATCAGACACCACATGAATCAAAATTTGGCCCAAGAGCATTTCTTTTTTGAACAAAACTACTTCCTTCTTAAAAACCCAAGCACTGGAGGAATCTTACCAGGCCAGAAGAATTCGTGGCACATGGAGTTTATGGTGGGGATGTGATTAGGGCGAACGTAGCAGTAATCAATGGGTGCTTCTGGCTCAGCCTTCCAGTTGAGATCATTCYTGTGTGGATTTGCCCGGATTTCTGCCAGCAGCCTGAGTTTTGGGGGCTTTGTCTCATAATCACGTCTGCCAGGAACATGAAAAGGAAACACAAAAAGCAAGTGAGCAACAACAGCTGCCACTGCAGCTCAATCAGTATTACCCATGAAATATTTTCTGACACACTCAACYTTAGGAAAAAAAGAACAGTCTTCCATTCATGTGGGAAAAGAGCTCCCAGCTGAGCAAAAACACCCTTGTGCCAGAGGCCAGGACACGTTCCAGACCCGCAGCATGTCCAGCCAGTCTCTCCTTACAGCACGAACCAGGAAATCATGGTTCTGACCCATGAGCAGGTGCAGCTTGCAGTGAATGACTCCTGCAATTCCCTCTCTGCCCTTGCCCCCTCTCGGAGATGCCCCTTCCCAATGCAATCCGTTTACCTACTCAGCTAAATGGAACAGTATCCCCTCAGGGTTACCGTGGTGCACTGGGTTGTACTTTGAGGAGGAGTGAGGAGCACTGCCCAAGAAAGGTGTCCTCTCCGGGGGCTGGCGGCGCRCAAGCCAAGAGCAAGCTCAGACCCTCTGTACCTGATGTAAGGTTTAAGGACACGGGAGGTGTAAGGGCTGACWATACTGTGGTCTGTCAGCAGGTCTTCTGAGCCTACCAGGCGATACAGAAACTTGGTTGTCTGCTGGCGATATCCCTTCGTGGCGGGCAGCATTGTCTGGGTGCACAAAAAAAGGCAGAACAGTTACAGCAAGATTAGTCAGTGATTTAACAAGGGAATAGYGTGGAGGGAGAATAAGTGCATTTCAGTGTGACCACGATGGTCCYGCCTCTGGACTCTGCTGTGCACTCCCCAATTCAGTGCCCAAACCCATGAGCTGCACTCCTCACTCAGAAACAAGTCATGGCCCTCCTGCACATATGAAAGAGCACCTCCCTGTTTGGGGCTGTCCAGGCCTCCACCATCAGCATTTGGGCAGGGCAGAGTACAAATACATCGACTTTTGTGGTGCTGACACTGACAGACAGCAGCGCTGCACCAGCATGTCCCAAGAAGGGACTTAGGAGAGCACTGGTGGGGACACAGCCCCAAGTCAAAACCAGTCTTGTTCACATAATCCTTCTCACTTTAGGAGTCAGATAACCTCAATGTGACACTGCTGTCTGCAGCAGAAGCTTTWGAACAACAACTGCTTACATTTGGGAACACCCACCTGGTATCTGTCCAAGATCCTGAAGTCCTGGCTAGTAGTTCTGTATGTTGCTTGCCCTACTGGGGACCTGGAGACACCACCTTCTTTGGCTCCATAAATCCCATCAACCAGGAGCAGTGCAGCATTCACAACCTGGTCCAAGTCAAACAGGGGGAGGCCTCTTTCCCTCTTGGCCTGCCTGACCAGCAGCTTGCGCCTCAGCCTCCGGGCCTCTGGGGTCATGCTCAAAGCATTGGGACAGGCTTCCAGTCTCTTCAGCAGCAGCTTCTCCTCGTAGATGCTCACTGAGGTGTGCTTGGGAACTCGGGGTTTAGCATCCTTCTCCATCTGTGTCTTCCCCTTGTCTCGTCCTCTCACCTGCAAGGGTATGTTTGACTCCTCAGGATCTTCACTGTCACCTTCCATCCGTTCTATCTTTTCTTCTTCGCTCTCCACCTCTTGCTTGATCTGCTCAGCTGTCTTCACTTTCTTTCTGCTTGCTATCATGGTGCCAGCACCAGCTGTCCCACTGGGAGGGGGCACATACTCTATTCCTGGGTCTATGACTCCATCTCCTTCCATCTCTTCATCATCTGTGGGACAGATCAAAACAATCCAGGAGGAAAGAAAAAATAATTTAAACCTCAAAGCCCCATTTCAAAAAAGGTTGTCACAGCATTTTTCTGCTAAGGAACATAATGTGGGTTTACCCAACACACTTCATTTTCTGTATACTCCTGGATCTCCTGGTTTTAGACAGGAGATGCCGTAAAGAGTACAACTGTAGGGCACAGAATCAATCCTGCTCCTTGTAGTTTGGCATCTGGAAACAGAGCCCCTACTGAGCTGCAAGCTCATGTTCTTGGATGAATGTCAAGCTGCTGAAAATTCCGAAAGACTGAGGATCAAAAGGTCAAGCTGGTGAGCTGTATCATCAGCTGGCATAATGAGGAGATGTCCTGTCCTCTACAGAACYTCACTATCCTTCCTGTCCCCAGCAGTCTGGCTCCTTCAGGAACTAAGAGAATTCAGCCTGCATCACTGCTTTGCAATCTCACCAAAACTAAACATCCATTAAACAGCACGTTCAAACTCATAAAATACTGGGACATTACCATGGGAATAAAATTTCTCCCATAAAAAAAACATTTGAGACAAAACTAGAGTTGCTRTCTAACAGTGTAATTTGCATTGCAGTGAAATGCTTATGCTGAGTGGTCCAGCAGTTGCTGTGTGAAATCCACCCACTGTTTAGTCAGGAAACAGTAACGGGGATTTCTTCTGGCCTTAGAAGCTAGTGATACCACAATGGAAAACCAGTTAATTCTCACACTCAACTTAGACTATAAAAATTACCAGTTACTTCCTGTCTTATCCTGAAAGGATCCTGCAGCTCATTGGGAGCTTTTTTTTTTAACATCTTCCTAGAAAACTACACACGGTCCATCACTAAACCAAACCCGTGGTGGCTCTTACCATGGAACAGAGCCTGTGGTGGCATGACATCCGGGATGAGATCTGCTTCTGAGAGCAGGCTGGGAGTAGCCGAGTGCGAGGCAGGAGTGCCRGGGGCAGAGAAGTCCAGGGACGGGGAGGGAGAAGGGCTGGTGAGCGGCGTGCGATCGGACGAGCTCAGCGAGGAGAAGTCGATGACCTCTCCTTTCTCCAGGACGATGTCGGGCCGGCGGCAGCGGCTGCTGAACTTGACGGGAGTGGAGGAAGTGCTGCGGTCCAGGAAKCCGGCCGCCTCCTTCTGGGCCCTGCGAATCTCCTTGGCTTCCTGAGTGCGGGACCTCTTCTCCTTCAGCTCCATGGCYGACTCCACCGGATTGCGGCTCACCCGCTTCCGAAGGCCTTCCACYGTGATGATGGGATCCAGGGGGGGCTTGGAAGCTGCTGAAGGAGGAGTTTGCTTATTCTGACTGACTGGATACACACTACACAGTCAAAACCCCATTAAAAGATGGATTTTCAATGCGTACAACAAATTCACTCTGGGRCATGTAGCATTAAGCCAGTGTATGACTAAAGCCTCATTAAAGCCCAAATGTTATTCCTCTGCACAGAGGAGAATTTGCATCTAGTGACAAAAGACAATCCCCAGGGTAAAGTGGAGAAATTGTGGATTTCAGCTAAAAAAAAACCCAACCCAAAATACTCTGCASAAGCCTCAAAACCCTTTAAACCAGCACAATGCAACAAAGTAATAAAATAGAACAAGCTTCTTCCACTACAGTCTATGCACCATAGTTCTCTACAGTCAATCATTACAGCAGAACAGATCTAAGGAACTGCCCATGAACACAAATACATGGTTTTAACTGAACTTTTCTCACATCTGCCAGCTCTGGTCCAGTGAGGACCCTACACACTCCTGGGACAGAGCTACCTTTTGCCTTTAGCGCAGAGGTAGACAGCTTCTCTCCTTCAGGCTTCAGTGTTGGGGGTTTGTTATGAACCAGCTTCCACCATCCTGGTTCTCCAAACTCCTGCGCCCCAGAGCGAAAAAACAAAGGGCTCCCCACAGAGAGACAGCCAGCAACGGTGCTCCACCATGTTGAGGTCTTTTTCCTGCAGTGGGAGAGAGGAAAACAAGGGTTAGTCCCCACCCACCAGCTGTGCTTCCATCCTGGACAGAGCGTTTCTGCCACTGGTGCTGATGCACACACTCTGAACTACTTCTGAAGCATTGTTTTGGCCACTTGGAGGCAGGGAGCTACACTTAAGCCTTTCATTCTTACTGGGCATCTTGGCACTCTGCACTCCTTCGGGAACTGGTCACAGGGCTAACTAAGGTGGCACTTAAGGAAAAGTGAGAATACATACTAAAGAATTTCCCTTGTAGCCAATAACTGAGGTACTCCCTTGGACTGTGGAGAATCAGGTTCATGGATGGTGCAGAGTCTAAACTCCGCTGCACAGAATCCCAGGATTTCTTCTTGCCTTTGCACACCCCCAGTGGCAGAAACTTCTGTACTTGCCAAGGCTTGGCTGAGGAGGTGCTCASTACTGCACTTACACACCTTGGGGTACTGAAACTCAAAGGTGGGGGGTAAACCCAGGTGCCCCAGCTCAGAGTCTGTAGGGTCACAGTAAATCTGGATAAGCTGCACATCAACATGCCAAGGAAGAACAGCATTGCACGGCTTGTACCGCTACACACACGATTCAGCTGTCTCTGTTCCATCAGTGGCTTGTCCAGGCAAGCGGGGAGACATTGTCTGAGGCCAGGAATCACTCTCTGAATTTTAATCAGAGCAAGGAGTGCCCAATTCCCAGGGCAAGTCTCAAAAGGCAGCAGCAAACCCTGGGAGGCATCAGCTCCCTGAGTAAGGGACAATGGGCCATCAGCTGCCCTCCTGTCAGGGTCCCTKTGGCTTCCAGAGAGGACAAATGCGAACATTTCTGAGAACTGAGCAAGAGGCACAGACAAGCACTGAGAGCAAAGCCAAAGACCAAATCTGGTGAGGAAGAAAGGCCAGATCTTACAACAGAGAAATCCCTGGGGAAGAAATCAAGTCAATCAAATCTACAACTTCCAAGGATTGCTCAGTTCCTTCCCTGCCTCCACAGCAGTTCGACAGCTTCAGCACGCTCAGAAAAAATGTGCTGTTCACCTGGAAAATGAAGGCTGCCCTTTACAAGAGAGGTTCCACCTCTGGCAGTGTCTTTACACACATCGAAAAATGTTTCAGTTGTTTAGCACCTACTATGTAAAAGCCATTTTCATGAAGATCCAAAACAATCTAAAAGGTGAGGCTCAGTTCTTTTTAAAGAACTTGGTCCTTGCATGCTTTACAGCCAAGGCACATAGCACTTAGCGGAACCACATTTTTGTCCTTAAAGTTTGACAATACCAGGACTAACATATACTTTGTGACTGTTTAGAAAAACTCAGTCTTTGCAGGTTCATATTGCTGCCTAAAGATAAGAAATAATCCAAAACTCATGCATTTGTATTAGTTCCCTGTGACATTCTTGGGGTTATTTTTCCTCAGTAAGAAATGATTACTCTTTCTCAAGTGCACCCCTCATGCCTGCATTCAGATTCTTAATATTAAATCCTCCCTTTTTATCACTTGCAAGGTTCAACAGAGATGTCACAGTATTAACCACGAGTCTGGTCCATCTGTATAACAGATTGTAATTCCTTTGGCTCACCAACCAGCCCCTCAGGGAAGTATCATGTCTTTACCTGTTCCCTAATAAGAAAGTCCAGTGTTTCTCAATAAAAGCACAAATATCTTCTTTCCATCTGAAGTACCCCTGACGGCCCGTTCCTTCCAGAGACAAGTTGTACATTGCCAACATGACAACCTGGAACAGAAAGTGTTGGACACAAGTAAATCTTTTCTGCTTTGTCTGCTGAACAGACCCCCACAGCTGCCACACACCCAAAAAATCTTTGCTCCCTCATAAATATCTTATTTTTGCAACATCTCATAGGCAACTTCTGCAATCCATGTTTTTCCTGGTTTCATGCTGCCCATTCTTGTCTTTCTATTGTTAGATGCACATTCTTCCAGAGATTTCTCCATCCCAGGGGAATAACAAGCTGCCTAKTTATGCAGGTTTGTGCTCAGACACAAGAATTGTGCAGCTGTTGTATAAATGAATTACAGCACAGCCGGAATGTAATGTGAAGGTAGGGAAACAGTCTTGGAAATAATAAAAAAAAAGTCACAAGTAATCCCACTGTCTAATACATGAAAAACATTGTGACAATGGCCTTTCCAGACACTGTTACATTTCAAACTCAACAAAACTCTAAAATTACCCATTTCCTGTTGTTCTGGGTGTGCAAGAAGCAAGTTTGTCTCCAGGTGACCTCCGTTAAACACCATTTACAGCTCATTCACACAAGTGACAACCAAATTCACTCTGACCTGTTACACACCTAAACTAAAGAGCAGGTTTAAAAAATATCACACCTCTTTTAACTACGTTCTAGGTGACCAACTGTTAATGACATTTACTTAATTAATTCTGRTTAATTTATTAGAATACAACTAAAATCAGCTAGGCTGGGATAATAATTCAACAATCACACAGCCTTGGTTTGGCACTATTTCCAACATGGACTTATACTTCACCCTCAGAGAAGCCTGAAACGTGTTTTTCTTAGGGAGATGGGTCTCCTTATAGCGGATGTTGACTTGCTGCTATGCATTATCAAAGACATCAAAATGAAGAAATATGGACAGCTTTAACATCCCTCTACCCTATTTCTACCTCACAACCCCTCCTAGTCTGATAACTAGGATTTTGTGGGTTTTAAAGTAATGTGGGACAGTGTCTCAGGACATCAGAAGTAATTCTCTTTTCAGGTGCTGAAGATAAGGATCTATAGAGGCCATGTACTCTGCAAAAAATCCAGAAATCACTGTCCCCATTCTTCCTGCTCCAGGTAAGTTAATCTGACCACTTCCCTCAATTCCACTGACACAGATGCAGCAGCAGCTTTCTTCAACCATTTTCACTTTGCCTGCCCCTTCCCCCTGGCACTCTGAAGAGACCTGGGCACAATTCCAGCAGCCTGTGCTTCCCAGTGTGTAACTTGGTGAAACTCTGCCAATCTGCAAGCACAAACCCCTACACCAACCTTTTCCCCTGCCCTGGCCACCAAGAGAAAGCACTGCAGGAGTTAAAATTGGTGTTCCAAATTAATTTATATGATGCTAAGGTTGTAGGTAAGAATCAGGGGGAAGGCCAACAAGGCCAATATTTTCAACAATAAGACAGACTGTCCTCAGGACAAGCAGCCTCCAGAGCTGGTAGATGGGGACAAGGAGCAGMTTCTCCCAAGGAACCAYCAACAGGACCAGAGGACACAGTCTTAAACTACACCAGGGGAGGCTTAGGCTGGGCATTAGRAAGAAGTTCTTCACAGAAAGGGTGACTGGGAACTGGAATGGGTTGCCCAGGGAGGTGGTGCAGTCACCATCCCTGGAGGKGGCACTCAGTGCCATGGTCTGRTTGACAGKGTGGTGTTGGGTCAYGGGTGGGACTGGACGATCTCAAAGGCMTTTTCCAAMCTAACTGATCCTGTGGTTCTGTGATATTCTATGAGACAGCACACCACTACTCTCCCAAAGGATGCAAACAGATGTTGTTTTGATTGCTCAGGTGTGCAAATGATTCAAACAGTGAATTCCAGCAAGGACTGATGCTACWGCATAAGCAGACAGCTTGGAGCTTTGTATTCAGGGAACTGGCAAACTCTCTATGTTGCCACCTCACTAATTTTACCATTTTCTTATATACAAAAAACCTGTTCATGCCTAGCAGCCAAAACGCATTTATTTTGCTTTTCCAAAACCTGCTTGAAGCCATGAATTCATGAACAACATAAGGAAAAAAAAAAAGGAATGTGGTTTGTATTATTATATTTCAATTTTCCTGCCAAACGCTCAAGTTCTCATGTGCAGGCAATCCTCAGCTAATTAATTTCTGAAGCTCATGCAAATGCTTCTTTGTTACCAATACCTGATCCTCCTTTTCCARGCAGCATATACACAACAAACAACAATTTCAGAAAGTCCCACAGTTGTTGTGCTGGCACAAACATTTCACTTACTTGTTGCCATGTTAATCTCAGACGTTCAAATTGCTCCTTCCCGTCTTCTGAGCAATCAGAACAAGTAAATCTGAAAAAGTTATCTCCTTTGAGGTAGCTGAGCTGTTCTCTCAGTTGACCTAAAATTAAAAGGAAAAAAATCTTTTTTTTTGGCCTTTTATAGGAAGAAGTGCTGCAAATGAAATTTGGGTTTCCTCCAAAATCAGATGAACAGACCCACCGGTAAATCCCTATGCATCCAAAGTTATGGGCTCTAATTTTGTGTTTCTGTAGCAGAGGAAAAAAAAAAATCCAGGCTTCTAAGTTCACTAGGAGTTAATTTACACAAGTACCACGAACTGAAAAATGACATCACAAGACAGGGGAACCGTTAAGACCAGAGTGTTTCTGAAGAGTCCCACATAAAAGGTATTGCTCTAAAAGGATGTCATCTCTTTCACTGTAACAACAGCACATCAAGCACTTTTAATACATGCATACCCTGCTTCCAAGGTGAATTGCAGCATTAAGGTTGCAGCTGTGTCTGATGGGGGAATACCCTCCACACTCAGTAGATTAACAGAATTTCCAAATGGCAAATCAATGTAAAAAGGTGATTATTTGTCTSACAATTTCCACAAGTGACAAGTGAACTCCCTAGAGCTGAATGATTAGGAAAGAGCACAGTATCTCCCTTTTACAGCTCGTTTACTCTGGACATTTGTATGTGGCTACTGTTGCTTTGCAACTGGCCTTCTCTGCTCCTTGGACTTGTTCCACAGCAACTGCAGAGAGGAGCATATTTGAAAAATAAAACAAATTGAGTATCAAATCAAGTGATCATGCATGAGATAACTCATGCTACCTTTAACTCTGCTCCATTTTTTATTAATACATTTCAAGTTAATACTTCCCGTTATTGAACAGTAATTTAATAGTCTRATACTGGTTTCATTAGATGAACATCTAAACATTCACTAGCACGCCTTGAGAGGAGATTTTTACACTGTAAATTTTGGCAAATTCTAAGAAGGCAAAAAAGGGCCTCTGACAAATCTACAAGGCAGGTGCCACATAAACAGTTCATTATTTCCAGTCACAAACAAACAAACAAAAAAAAAAAAAAAAGGTGCCAAATAAACAGTTCATTATTTCCAGTCACAAACAAACAAACAAAAAAAAAAAAACAAACCAGATCAAACCAAACAAAAAAGCCCACCCCAAAATCACAACCAACCAGTGCTTAGCAATATCTGCCTTTTAGATCTAATAACAGATCAGACCATCCAGAATTTAAAACACTTCTATTACACTTCTACCAGCATAGATCTTATGTCAAGTRCCAGAGAAGAGACACCAAGTTATGCAGCTTGCTCCTCCCAGAGCTGTCTGCTGCAGGCTGGGCGTATTTCTATGAAAGCCAACTTAAATTCACATTATTGGAAAAACTTGAGGGTTGAGATTTAGCCATATGCTCCACAGATATGACAAATCAACAGGAAGAAAAAAACCCAAGTAACACCATTCAAGTCCTTTTCCTCCCCCGAATTTGTGGCAAGGGTCATTATCTTTATCTGAGTGAACAGAGAGGCCGAGTTGCTTGGCCCAAGCACCCTAAACAACTGCAAGGATTGTGAGGGTGAGCACATTTCTGAACTTTAATATTCTCTCCTGATTATAGGAGACAGTTTGAGTTCCTTACAGAGAGTAGCAGCTCTGGACCTGAAGTGTCTAACCCACCCCATGCCAGCAGGCTGCAGGGCTGTGTGCAATGCCACAACAGCCTAATTCCACCGGGACAGGATAGGGTAGAGTAAAACAAGCTGTAAAACAGGAATGCAGGACAGCAGGAACACCTTGCAAACACCCACCACAGCAAAGCACAACACAACTGGCAGCCTTACTTGCTGGGATCCACTTCTGGCACTTCTCACAGTAATAGGACATCTCCTCCATCCAGGAGGCTTCACCCTCATCGCTGTTCAGGGAGTCGCCGCTCTGGTCGTGCGATAAATCCACGGAGGCCTGGTCCTCGGACTCCACGATCAGGAGAGTCTCCCCTTCCACCTCGCCCTCCTCCAGGCCCTCGGAGGTGGAGGTCCTGGTGGCTTCATCGTCGTGGCGGCTGAGCAGCCCGCTCATGTGAACGTTATTGGCCATACTGGATGGAGGAGCCCACAGAACAACGAGCTGCTCCTCCCCACCTTCAGTCCAGCCGCGCTGATTACCCACAGTCCAAATCCCACAGTCCAAGTAGCAATCACAGAGAAATGGGGTTTTGTCCGCCCTAAAGCTTTAGAGGCTGGATTATAATTTATACTAAATAAGCAGTCTTTCACAGGTTACCTCTGCTTGCTAAAACACCTGCARGAAATTAGGTGCAAATGACCTCCAAACGCTTTCAATCAAACCTCTAAGGAGCCAAGCCTGTGCCTAGGACTGCTGGGAACGTTTTTCCATTAGCGCCTTGTCTCGTTCTTCCATCAGCTGCTTTGTCAGAGCAATCTGCTCCTCTAACAGGCGAATGTTCTCCTTTTTCTGATTCTGACGCTCAAGATCTCTGACAACTCCACTTCGCAGTCTCTGAAAACACAAGGGACAGGGGTTATCACAGCCSGAGTGATGCTGAATGGGATCAGCCCCACCCAAAGCTGTTCCCTCTGCTGCCTTTGCCACGGCAGCTTAATGTGGTTGGAATCTTCAGGAGCCAATATCCAACATCAATACACCAAAAAGTGTTTTATTTGCACTCACTTCAGATGGGTGGGTTTACTAAGTGACAAAGCTATTGAACAAGGAACTACTAGGAACTGTAATTCCCATGCCACCACGCAGGATGGGTGTGATCTAAAAAATCATGTTATCTCTGACTTAAATCTTTACCAAATCAGAATAATCTCCWCAAAACTTCTCTGCTTGGAAGCAATTTTGTGACAAATTGAAAACTACTTTAAGAAAAACTAACATGTGTCTTCATTTGCTTTTTTCTGCTCGTGTCTTGATTAAAAAAATACCCATAGCCTGCTTATGCCACGTTCTTGAAAAAGCAAGGCMCCCCCTTCACAAAATATCCCCTTTACCTAAAATGTTCATTATAAATCATGTAATTATATAACAYATATATATAAACAAATACATAATGTGCAACACATACCAGCAGCTTTCAACTCGGGGTGCAAGCCCTGCAGTGGGTGTAAAAAGCCCTAAGAAAATCCCAGCTCCTCTTTGTTTCCTCCATAGRCTTCTCTCTCTCTGTTACCCAGTTTTATTCACTGATACTTGGATAATTCCGTGAAAGATCAATAACCTATTCAACCCACTGAATGGAGCCAAAATGCACTTGGCAAATAATTTATTTGAAAGCTGACCCTGAAGTCACTTYAGAGGATGTTTGTGACTGTTATTTGACAAGTTATCACAGTGTTTATTCCTCACCTARCRTGCCAATAACTGCACACCTCAAAGRCAATTATTTCTCCTGTCAAGACCAAAATAGAAAGGTTTTAAGAAATAATATTATCTTATTAAGAAAATGAGACACATATGTCAACCAATAACCAAAACTCTCTCCAGAAATTAATCTAATAAAACCAGTTTCTTTCCATCAGCCTCCATCAGCTGAACTCAGGTTACAAATCAGTAATCTGAAGACAAAATTCATAAACTTATTATTACACTGTTAGTTAATAACAATAAAGATGTGGGGAATACAAGGTAACATCAATCACACCTATAATGTAATCCTTTTTCCTTCACAAATCACTGCAATCTTTCAGATGGTGGATGTATTTACTTTGAAAATGCATGGTATGCAAAAGACACCTTTATAATTTGAGTGTCACAAGTAACAAGACCTATAAAAAAGTTAATCTTCACATCTTCCTCTATTMTTGGAAGTTAGCCCTGCTTGTCTTCTGCAGACGTGAAAAGCATGTGCAAGCTCAAATCACTCTGGGCCTGGCACATCACTATATAAAAGTCACAAGTTTATTAATCTGCACAAAGATCAACGTGAAATAACCTCTACACCAGGACTGTAAAAMATCCACATTATTTATTTCCATTGTGTTATCTAAATAACTGGATCTGTTAACATGAAGCAAATATTGTCTGATTTGATGGTGAAGTATTACAAAATCTCACATTTAATTTATAAAATTTAAGCCTTGAGCCTTGGCCCTTCTGAACAGGTATTAGCCAAGGTCGAAAGGATCCGTGAAGTTTAGGTGTCTCACTGAAACACCCAAGGGTGATGTTTACCCTGCAGCACAYGTTCAAAGTACAGCTTTAATTGCAGCTGCAGTTTAGTTTAGGAGCATTAACTCCTACTCCTGCCAGATCCTCAGTGGCTCAAGGCAGACACACCGAATTAGTGAGCAGCCAGCTACAAATATTTGAGCTCAGGTGATCTACCCAGCATATCCATCAGCTCTGCCAAGTGCAGAGCYATGGCTGGTTGCCATTGCTGGGATATGGACTGSRTATTGGAACTCTGGTGTTCTGTAAYTYTTGTGTCATTTAGCACAGGMTTTTTCTGTGTGCAATTTCTAGATCTTTTGGTAAATGAATGGAGAAGGATCAGATGTGTGTCCTCATATCAGTATCCCCTTGGCTCATCAGCAGGGTCCAAACCAGCACCCTTATTGCCCACACAGCACACCTTTACACAACCACACAACTTTCRGGCAGGATTTCTCTGTGTCAGGACTCACCATTGTCAGATCTGACACTYTGGCTGTGAGCTCTCTTGCACACAGTGTGCCTGCCAGGAATTACCTAATTTTTGTAAATGCTGCACAGGAAATTTCCCTGTTTAATTACAATATGGTGTTTCTGACAGCTCGCACTCTGCCTGCCCTGGCAGACCAAGAAGGGAGCTGGGGCAGCTGCATGGCACAGTACAACRCTGTCTGCCCTTCAGCAAGGGTGCACTTGTGGAGCTGAGGAAAACCAGGRGACAGCACAGCCAGACAGGGGAGAGCCTGGGAACCCTGCCAGAGTGGTGCCCTTGGCCAAGAGGCTCCAARATTACATCCTTCCTGCACACTGCCTGCTGGAGAGGGCGGGAAGCACCTCCACCGAGCCTGTCCTGACTCACCTAGGGCTCCAGAAGCGTAATACACCGGACAGCATTACGGAGCTGGTGCAGCTAAAAAAGCATGGAAAGTGCAGGTGCCAAGGCAGGAAAACGTAGGGAAGGGGTAGCTCGTGGAGAGAGCACCAGCGGGGCAGCGCTGGGCAGGTGCAGCTCTGGCCTCTGGGCGCCGGGCTGGGCGCACACAGAGCCCGCAGCCCCCAGTGCTGGGCGCGGAGGGGGACAGGGACAAGGAGCAGCTGGGACGGAGGACGAAATGGAAGGATGGAGGGAGAGATGGAGGGAGAGATGGAGGGAGGGATGGAGGGAGGGATGGAGGGAGGGATGGAAGGAGGGATGGAAGGAGGGATGGA